GTAAGAATATGTATAAGGAAGCTTCCTCCCCAAGTGATTTAGCAGTGTACTGCACTTCTCATCTACTGTCTCCGTGCCTCATGCTTTGTGTGGCACGCTCATGGGGAATCCTTAGGAGTCCATCAAGTGCTGCAGAGGGGAAGCCTTCTAATGAGATGTTTTCACTATGGAGAGATAAAATAGACAATCCTGGCGTGAGTTATCACGCCAAAGGACTCTATACCCTCACCATGTTTCTGAAGGGCACCAGATCTCCAGTAGCGATCTCAGTACAGAGCTGTTATGTATGTAGACAGGGTAGAGGAAGGAAGTCAAAGCAGATTAATAATTTACTCCTGCCTCAGAGCTGTTCAGTGACACTAAATCAGCAAAAGCCTTCAAAATAAAAACGTCACGATATTGCAGGCACTGATGAATTACAAAGGAGCTGCCTCTGCCAGCAGGAAAATGCTTCTCTAGTTGATCTGTCAGGTCACTGGGTCCCACACAGAGGATGAGATATTTCTCAACCCCCTGTGCGGTAGCAATGGGCCCTCATCAGGGACAGCAGAACTGAGTATCTGCTGGTGCCTTCGCTGCTGCCACGAATACATCCGTGGCAGCAGAGACGGGCAAGCATCACAGGCCAGAGAAGAGGGCAACGCTGGTGCTGGTTCCCATTCCAGCTCTGCAAGAGGGGCAGTAGGACAGGGATGGAGAGCTGGGTGCACCAGCAGCCAAATCAAGAGTGTCAAGGAGCTCCTGACAGCCAGAGCTGGCACTTTGCCTCCAGTTACTCATCTCCTCCCAGGCTCAGCCTCAGGGACACAGCCCCAGCCAATGCCCAACCTGATCCCACACAAGGTTCTGCTGGGAGTCTGCTTCTGCAAAGCTGCAGAAGGGACCGTATCAGGGCTGGAGGGAAGAGGAGGAGGATGTGCAGCACCTCCCAGGGGAACCAAGGCAGCAATGTAAAGATTCAGGCACTGGGGCTTATGGCGAACACGTAAAGCCTCAGGCACACGCGAAGCCACCGGTCCCACTGCAGGCGCTGCAGTCCCCAAGGCTGTGTTGGGTACGGCTGCTCTCACCAGGGCCAGAGTAGGCTTGAGGAAATAAAAGCACTTCTCCTCTTTAAACCTGCCACTTCTTTTTCTTTCAGGAGGGAGACAGGACCAGGCCAACAACCAGCAGCACCCAGCACAGCTGAAGCAGGCTGTTTCTCACGCGGTAGCACACATCCCTATTTCCCCAGCTCGGTGCACGTTACCATGGGATACTGCATCCAACAGCACGGTTGGAACACTGCTGTTCTCTGCAAGGAAACAGGGGCCTCAGCTCTTGCTGCTGCCCTGGAAGCAGCACCTGGGAAGGGGCAGGCTTGCTGCTGCCTATGCAGAGGCCATGCTTGCCACAGAGCTGCTGACACAGGTCACAGGCATCATCACAGCTCCCACAGCGATGCTTTCCCAGGTCCTTCTCACAGGATACACAACAGTGCATGTACAAGCAGTATGTAGCTACGACAGAGCCTCAGAAGCTGCATTTCCAGGATGATCACAGCCCTTATGTTTAAGCCGAGTGCTACGATTAAAAATAGACAAGCTTTGCCAATGCTTTTACAGGAAAGGAAACAGGGATTGCACAAGCCAAGACTAGGACCAGGAAATCTGGTCTAACTCAACAGGAACCAGTCCTAACCCAGGTGAAAGACAGTGTGCAGGTAGCTGTCTGTAGTCATCGTGATAGATTTAGATTGCAAAATTGGAAATGTATTTTTAGAGTTCAGCCTGGAAAGTGTCTCTTCAGAAGGAGATCAAGCATGCCACAGCAGGGTCACTGTGGGACTTGCAGAGCACCATCGAGCAGAGGAGGATTGCTGGGGTGAATTCATCACATTGTTAAACCCTTCAGGGTACCAGCCTCATTCTTGCAGGTGTAACAAGCCTGGCACAGGTGGGATCAGAAAACCTCATCCCCAGCCTGCACCACGGAGCCACATCACATGCCCGTGGTGTTGCTTGAACCCGGTGGCTGAGTCAGTGAAGGGAACAGAAGGCTCTGTTGGTGCTGGGCTATCCACAGCCTCCGCAGGGAAAGCCCCCAGCAACCTCCCATCAACATGCTCCTGCCCTGCTGAGTCAACACACCAAGCTGCCCCGCTCCTGCTCTTGGAAAAGAAGAAGGGCTTCGTTACCCAGCTGCTGTGCCAAGCTGCTGCCTTTTACCAGCATTCGATCCAGGCAGTTTCCTACAGCTGAAAAGCAAATTAGCTCATTAAATCACCTGCTTTACACATCACACAAAGAGCAGCGCAGAACAGGGGCTGTGCACAAACCAAGTGCAGAAAGCAGAGCTGCTCATTTCCAGAGGCACTTCTGCAGGTCTGCACAGAACTCTAAGGCTAGAAAAAGGCCTGCCCTCACCTCATCTCATTCCCTCATCCGCTCCTCATACCTGCGGTGATCTCCCATCCATCCCGTTCCATTATTGTAGATGTCTCTTTCCATTCAAACCAACCTTTGAAAGCAGGTTAAGGCCACAGATGTCATTTGGGGCTGGTTTTCTGCAGGTTCAAGGGGCTGATTTTGGCTGCACACAAGTGGAGCTGTAATCATCTCAGATCCAGCACAGTGCAACCTCTTGCACTTCTCCCGGCTCCCAGATTAGTTCAGAAGCAGAGATTCTGAGTTCAGAGTGCCTCAGTCGGCTGGTTGAGCCAAAGGGATCATTTTACTTTTAATCTGACATTCATTTTACAGTTTACAGAGTACTAAACCTTCTATTTAAATTGTTTATTTAAGAACAGAAGCCCAGGGGGAACTCCAAAAGGGAACTGCACTCAAAGCTACTGCTTTTAGCTACCTTCCATGTAGTATGGAAATTGTTCCTCAAACTACTCGACTGCTGCTATGTTGCTTTTGACAGTGGGATTTCCATGCCTCAGGCATTTGAATCCATGTTCTGCCCTGTTAAAAACGGAATTAACAAGCCCAGTTTGGGTCAGGAAAAGTATACAATAGGCAAAGAGCACAGAGCAGGCTCAGAAGGGTTATCTCAGCATGATGCTGCCCAGAGAAACAGCCAGTTCTGCAAAGACTGCACCTTCTGTGGGGTTTCTCTTGTTTTGGCAGGATGGGGTAGAGAAATGTAATGAAAACATAATGCATCATCGTAATAGGGCAGAGGCTTAACGATGGTTGTGTGTTGGGCATGAACCTCTCTTTGTCCCCTCTATAGTCAGGTATGCATAAGCCCAAAAGCTCTGCTGGCTCCACATCAGCATCCAGCTGTGCCTCTGACCCAGGGTGAGCACCCTGCTTTGCATATGCCTGCTACCATCCTGTTCTCTGCTTTCACAATTCCTCTTTATATTATTCATTCTGCTTTGTAGCTTGCATCACATCCTTTTCTGATTTTTCATATCCTCTTAGTCAACAAGACCAGGACCAGAGAAGATGTGTCAATCCGATGTTGCAGGAGATGGAACCAAGAGCTCTTGCCATTTTAGAAGAGCCCAGCCATTTAAAGGTTATGCTTACATTTCATTATGTGTAACTACTGGGGGAAGACATCATTTAACCATGTCTTTTGAACCACAAATCTTGCCTTTGTTAAAGCAGGGTTAAACATAAACCAGGTCACATCTGAAAGGAGCCATTCAAATCCATGACCAGGATAACATGCAAGCTCTTTACAGTTGCTTTTCTGTGATCTTCATCCACACGTGCGGAACAGACACATGATGCAGAAGGGCCCTCTCCAGCCACTTTTCCCACCTCTTGGAAACAAAGCAACAGACAAATCCCAGATTTTCTATTTTTGAAAAGTGTTTACTCACGTAGTTTGAATAAATTAATTTGCAAATAAAAATTAAACTACAGTATACTATAGTTTGAATAAAATGATTAGAACAACTACAATACAGGGATTTCTTGCTGCATAAGTTTCATTACTTAATGCATATTATCTGGAAAATGTCAAAATCAGTTATATTTCCGTGGACAGGGAGTAACAGCAGTTACTTGTACATGACAGCTAAATGAACTTATAATACAGGTTTCCTGACACATGCATTTCCTGAGTGAACCAAACAATATATATAATTTCTTTTTAGAAATGGAGAAACAATTGACAGTCAAAGTAAATAATTCATGACATCTAAGCAACATAGGTCTCTCTTTAAACCAAGAAAACTTTAGAACAGCTTTGAAAGGAAAACTTAAAGCTATGCTATAAAGTACAGAAATTTGCTACTGCCAATTATACAGTATGTATGTTGAGAAAAGAACAAAGTATGAAGCTGGCCATAAAAAGCTCAACTCAGTCCTAAAAAGGTCAGGTTGTGCATTTGCCATGAAGCACGGTGGGTCAGCAGCAAGGCTGGATGTAGTGCACTGGCCATTTCTGGTGCATATAGGGGGAAAGGATGGGTAGGGAGAGCAGAGAGAGACTTACTAGAGCCCACGGCAGCGTGAGTGGATCTTATCAAAGCACCACACACACTGAGGTCTGTGACTCCGGTGCAGTCCCAGCTCTAGCTTTCCCCTAACAGACTGCCAACTGGGACAGGATGCACAAGGATGCCAGGATGCAGGCACGCATCCCTTGGGTACCAGGCTTCGACTTTGTTCCGTGTGTGGCCGAGATGAGTTATTGCACCTTGCAACAAGGTAAAGGCAAGCACATGAAGCCTGTGGCTCCCACATCTGACTGACAAGCCTGTCACAAGCTGCAGCTGTGGCCCATTCACAAATTGCTCCCTGCTCCCCACACATGTGCATCCACCTCTCCTCTCACCCCCTGCCCCAAACAGCAAGTTAAAAAATGAGCCTCATCTTTCAGGTTTGTTCACGTTTAACATTGGAAAACCCCTCACAAACATCACTAATGCTAAATAAAGAGATGTGTTAGCATGAAGGGAGAAAAAAATCCTTAATCTAGACTAAGTTGCATAATTCAAAGAGTCTGGTAAATACTTCTCTTCATAACCAGATCTTAAGTACAGTCCTACCTACCAAAAAGACATTTCAAGAAGTCCTCCTTAGCTACCTTTCAACAAGGTTAAAGCACACCTTTATGCCATCATCATTTGCATTAGCTTTGTTTTAAAAGCATTTTAACTATTCTAAGAACTCAGTATTTTAGATTAAAAGATTTTTCTACCATTTCCATCTCATGTTCTTCTCCACCCAGAGCTACTCTACACATCCAATTGCCGGATGTAACACACTATGACCATGCTACTCTCTAAACATTCTACATGTTTTCAATAATAAAGATAAATAGAAAAGAGTTAATATACACGTTCTATTTTACAATGTTTGCATCCAAGCTGTAAACTAATGTTCTTGGAACTATTTACCCTCCATATACAAAAAGAATGAAACAACTTCCAAATACTGTGGGCATGTGATTCAAAACCATTAAACGGAAGGCATCGAAGTTCACTCTATAACACTTCTTTGACCTTTTCAGAAGTAGATATTAACCAAAAAAAGCAGGAGTTCTCCCTCTTCTCTCCCCCATTTCTTCCATTTCCAGACTTTTATCAATAGAGAGGGATTTAGCCACTGTAACAAAAAAAACAACCCCCAAATTCTTCATCTTAATGCAAACCAGCAAAGCCCAGAGAATATGAAAAACAGTTGGTTTAAAAAAATCAGGATCTCTTAGCTTATCAATTTACTGCAGTCCTTGGAAACACATGTGTTAGTCAAGAGGTCCTTGGAAAATGAGTCTGATGTAGCCTTGCTCACCAGCCAGCTGATGCGCACAGAACGGACAGGCTGCGTGAAAAGTGTGAGTACCGTGAGGAAGAGGAATTTGGGACCAATATGCAGTTGTCTTTTCTGAGCACACGTGTCCACACGGGCTGAACGCATGAGTTGGAGGTCCTGCATCCACATAAAATCCCGCCTCACATCCAAGCCACAGAGGCACGTACGGGCCCACAGAGCGGCACATGGGACACTCGCGATCCTTGCCGTCTCTCTCCTCCTTGTTTCCCCAGTTGTGGTAGCCGTGGACGTGGCCACAGTTCAGGTACACCCATGGCTGCTTTTCATCTACAACATCTTTTCTCTTCATGCTGGGAAACGCCAAGGTGTTAAACCCCACGGGACACTGGGGCCTGGCTGCATTTATTTCCTGTCTTAGGGCCTCCAGGTGCTTGACAGTAGGAGTGCGTGAAAGCCCTTCCGCAGTGCGCCACAGCAGTGTTGCTCCACACAGGTCAATCAGAGAGCCATCCTGGAGTTGGTTTGTTTCATTCTCAACCTTGTGATGGACAAAGAGAAGGAGAGGTGTTACCTGAGGAGTAATATAAGGCACTTTCATAATAGAAATCTGCTAGACAAAAAGTTTCAAGCTGCTCTTGACTGTCCTGTACAAGATACCCACAGAGTGCCCAGTGGCAGCTTCTCTCTGCTTTCTTTAAAAAAGAAAGACAACAAACCAAAGCTTCTTAAGATAAATGTGTTCCTTAAAAAAAAGGCATGAAACGCTCCTCTCCAACCTTAATAACTTCTCTCAACTCCATCCCTACAGCAGACCCAGCTATGTTACTTGAAATGCATAAGGAGGAACAGCACAAGACTAGTCTTGTTTAGTCCTCCATCAGATTTTAGATTGTTTCTTCAAACCCACCTTTCCACATGGCCTTCCTCTCCTCCCAAAAAAGTCAGCTGTTAGCATTCCCAGCTAAATGCATCACTTAAATAAGTGTTCATGTAGTGTTTCTTTTAGCTAACAGATCCCAAATCATACCAAATCAAACCAATTACCTCCTGGTAATGTTGGCAATGCTTTGGCAACAAGAGGAACACTCAGAATGCCAAGGTGGAAATGGATATCCAGGTATATAGCATGTGTCAATAACATTATAATTATTCTTTATTATTCTATAAAAAGTGGGAAACCTTAAAAGCATAAACTCAAGAGGGAGAATGAGGAAAATACTCTTTAAACATGGGCATGACTATGACCATAGAAGTTGGCAGAAGAGCACAGCAGGCTGGCAACTCAACTTAGGAGAGTAGTCTAGAAGAGTTTAGGAAAGCCATTAAGTCCTAGTTTGCAGATAAAACATCAGTTACTCAGGTTGAGCAAGACACTTTCAAGTAAGAAGTCAGTGTAACTAATTATAGAGGTGACATCTACACTCCATGAGGCAGATCCCAGGCTTCACCACTTCTGGTTGTACCCATTTGGAACAGGTTGCATAAAACACTGGTCACCGCTCTTACCATTTTTCCCCTCTGCTGAGCTGATCTGGTTTCACGGAGGCTGAACACATTCCCACACACAGATATCTCTCTCCACACCCCTGGCTTGGAGTCTTCTGTAAATCCATTACGAGGATGCATAACAAGAACTCCATTTGTGGTTAGTCCATCCATTTGCCCATCTGATGTCTTCCACTTCGCAGCCTTCTCCTAAGAGAATTACATCAGTGAAAACTTAATTTGGCTGAAGTAGAGCTATGAATTAGCTTAAAAATAAGCCTACACTGAACACAGAGGTAAAAAGAGAGTTCCCTTACCCCAAGAAAGATGTTTTTTGAGGAGTCAAATCCTGCAGCATATATTCTTGCTGTATAAGGAGGGTTACGTTCACAGATGATTCTGCAGGCAAACCTTGATATAGTGCTCTGCACAGACTGCGTATCTGAGTTACTCTGACTTCCAGGAACTGTATCTGTCACTACAAAGTCTATAGGGCTTTCCGTTGACCGACCAATCTGGAAAGGGATTAAAGAAACCAAACATAGACAAAACAAAACCTTCAGAAGTTTGCCTTTGAGTCTAGGAATACTGAAGTTCAAAACATTTAAAAACGATCAAGAAAAATTCATGACATTCTAGTTTAAAGGATTTCCCTCCACCGATCTAAATTCAGGTTTCTAAAGCCTAATCTGAATTGATGTGTTATTTCACCTCCATGTGAACAAAGCTATTCTGAAGGCTGAGTACAACCAAGTGAAGGAAGGAGAAGTAAAATCATGTAATTAAGTCAATTCTGAGACAATTTCCCATTGAAAGCCTTCTCATCAGAAAGTTTACACTCGGGTCAGCCGGACCAGCTGCAGCAGCAGCACCAAAACAGCTAGGAAACAGCAGTTAGATGGAAAAGTGTGATATTCAGTCACTTAGAATGCCCAGAACACTCTGAACAATGCCAGACTATGTGAGGTGTGGATGTAGGAAAATCAGATTGCATGAGCTGACTCTCCAGCTCTGATGGGGCACTAGAGAGCAGCACATCTGTCAGGAAAGAGCAGGTACAAGATGTTTGTGGTGGGGAGGGGTTACATTAACATGCACAGAACACAACAAGAATGCAACATCTGACTAAAATCACATTTTTTCTAGTAGCTGTGCCCTATTTTCTGGTTGCGTGGAAGAATGACTTTTGCAGTCCCACACAACTGTCCTGGGTTTGATAGAACTGCATAGGTTTCACTGCTGTTCTGGTCAACTCATTGTGTCCTTTTCCTTATAAAGTAGGAAAAGAAGTTATATCCCTCTCCCAAACATCAGTGTAGCCAGGTTTAAAGCCTTCTCTCACTTCCAGAGCTCTCAGCCTCTTCTCATAGCTGGTCACATTAAGACTGATTAACTGCTGGGCAGGAGACCCAAAAGCCTGCGGCACTCTTTGGTGAAGGCTGGAGAGTTTTCATGAGACTGAAACTGCTTTGTCAGAATGTATTTTTCTATTGCTTCTTAGTCAGGATAACCCATCAGTACACAGGGACTGCCACTGGCGATTTTAGAGCAGCATACATGCCACAGCATGCCTGAAGAGAGAACACTCACACAAACAATAGCTTATGCTGCACTTAGTTCATTACAGCCCTTTTGCTCTGTTGTAGGTATTTGCAGTTGCAGAGCAGCTTCCTCCACCACTTACCAACACTTCCCACCTCCTTAGATCCTGCAGTGGCGTCACAGCTAAATGCTGTGACAGCAAAACTCCTTGCCATAATTTAGTGACACCACAAGAAAATCAATGCAAGATCAGCCCGGAAATCAGAAGGAACAAAGCGCACACAAAAAAACCCCTAAAACAAAACCCTTCCTTTTGAGAAAAACAGGAAACAATTATAAGATATGAGCATACACCACAGCTGCAGATGTGTTTGTGGTTCCTTCTCATACATACAGGAACTGCAGCGAAGTTGCTCTGAACTGCCAGCACATCAGAATTGGGCCTCCTCTCACCATGTTTCCCAGTGCTTTAGACTTATTTCTGGGTTTGCTTAAAGGAGTTAGGGATACTTTTCATATTAGTTTTGTCAAAAGCTTTCCTGTCTTTTCACACTGTATTTCTTCCACCCTGTCTCCAACTGGCTAATCCCAAATCCCTTCATAAATGCTAGAAGCAAAGTTCCAAGTGCTTGAAGAGAATAGTGCTCTTTATTCTTCATGTTGTAAGGAGGGACTTGGAGACAGGTTATGGGACTTGCGGACTGGCAATCAAAGGCAGAACCATAATCACATGCATTAGTCACAAAAAGAACCCCAACTTTCACCTCTGACCAGGCCTAAAAGAGATGCTCAGATATACAGCCTTCCTCATGTGATGGCCTGGGAATAAACAGAATGAAACGTCTCTGAATAGTAAAGTGCAGAAAGTGACACATGCAAACTTTGAGGTCTGAGAGGAAAAGCCTGTAGAGAGGACGTCTTGTTAGAAATCACCAAAAGTGAGAATACACTTATATATACCTATATATACACATACTTCCTTTACATACCTGGAACATATCTGTGTTGCTGTCATGTGTGTATTCAACTACTACTGTCTGGGCCCGAGACAAAGTGTAAGATATGCTGTGTTGGTCCTTATTACTTATTGCCTGTAGACAAAATGCCAAATATTATTGAACCAGTGAATAATAACTCTACTGAATACAGCAGCAATACAGACAATATACATATAACCAAGCTCCTGTTCTGCTCAATTAATGCATTAAAACAGATGGTTGTTAGTGACACACCTGTAGTTAAACTTCACAAAAACCAGTCCTGGTCATTAAAAAAAGCTGCAGGATTGATTCAGCAACAGACCAAACTGGTCTCTTCACCATATGCTGCAACAAAATACATCTAACCTAGACATATTATTAGTCACGCTTCATGTTAAAGCAACACTAGCCTTACACAAAAGAACAAACAACTGAGTGCAAAGGCTAAAACTGAATAGTATGGCCTTCCCAGCCTGAATTTCAACAGCAAAGCAAGGACAGAAAAAAAAAAAACCTTAAGGACTTCATTCTAAAACCAGGATCTGAGTTCATACCAAAATCAGTGATTAATAGTAAGATATATAGACAAAAAACATAACAAGTAGTAGGGTAAAATGGAGAAACTCAGCATAGGCTGCAGAAATCACAGCAAAGTAGTCTAGGTTTCAGTTAGTGTAGATTTTCATTCTGCAACTACCTCTTGGGAACGGAACAAACATTCTTCTAGAAGTGCTTCTAAATACCACTTACTTGAAAACCGTAAGAAATTAGTAAAAATAAATGTTGTCCTCCCAGATCTCCTATAGATTTAATTCTATTACAAGAACTTTGGTTTAAAAAAATGCCTTTGATTTCAGAATACTTTATGCCATTCCCTGAATTTAGGAATCAATATTCGTAAGTGTCAAGGTATTTAGGGAGTCAAACACCTAACACTATAGTATTTAAGGGCCTTGACACTGGTGATCACTAAACAACCACTAAGCATTCTCAAATTCCATTGGTTTTAGTAGAAATGCTCCAGTTGTTGTTAACATGATTGCACATACACTTGAATTGCCACAACATAGAAGTATTTCCTGGTAATATTTTAGTTATAATGTATTAGTTTTGACATGAAATACAATTCAACTGCAGGACCTAAGCCCTTCCTTTACTGCTTTGTAACGGGAACTCTGAAACTGATTACAAGCACTATAAAACATGCCCTGCAAAAACCACCTGTCCTCATCCCCGGGGAACTCCCCCTTGGATGGAGTAGCAAGTGCACACAGAGCTTTGGCAAAGGATCATTTAAGAGTCAGCTTCATGTGAAGTGAAGTTAGCCCTAAAGCATGAGGGAGTGCAAAACCAGGAAGTCTAGACCAGATGTCTGCAGTGAGTTTGGAAGGAAAACAAAACAGAAAGCATTTTACATGACTGGCCTGTGCCTTGAACCTTCATGTTTCAAAAATAAACATTTTTCTTTCTGGACACAGCAAGGACTGGGCATTAGTTTTGTTTTGCTGAAAAGTTTCTTGCTAGCCCTGACTGGTACCAAAAAACCTTGGATAAACATCAACTACACTTTTCACAGCCAGAACTTCATGCTTTTTACATCATTTCATCTCAGCATAACAGCACTGACTTCACTCAACTCTTTAGACAGCACCAGGAGAAATTATACTTAACTAGACAAATTGAGCTTACCTTTGCTGCTTGAGGGGTACAGGCAATATGCACAGTGCTAGGTTTCACCCCATTTGCCTTGGGCCTTTTAAATAAAGCAAACCTACTTTTTCTTCTTCCTCTATCTCCATTTGGGAGAGACCCATTGTACCTAACAAAAAAGCACAGGAAAAGAACAAAGTCCATCTTCCTGTATTACTTAGCTTCCCATGAGATACAGACCCACAAGAACTTTCATTCTAAGCACGAAGTCTTCTTAACTAGTGTGGTATTAATAATTACAGATTTCCAAACAGTCACATTTAAATCTGAGAATTGATAAACACAATATTGAAACATGACCAAAGGATTACAGTATGTACACACAAAACCTGTAGGGCAAGGAATTCTACCCAGATCAATCTCAAAGCTACTACTGACATGTGAAAGACTTGAGTTCCAAACATGATAACAAGTACAGTTACATGCCTATCTGCTGCTTTCTCTCTAAATGGCATCACACTGTAAATGAAAGATTCTAAATACTCAAAAACTGTGATAGAGAGCTAGTATTGTGGAGAATTTTGATTGAAATAAAGACCCATAAGAAATAGATAATGCTGTCCTGTGAGACTCCAATTTAATCCATCAAAAACCCCTCAGAGTCTCACTTTGAACATGTCAACATACAAAAGCCAGCCGGCAAACTTGCTTTATTAACATCTTCTGTTTGCACTTTGGTATTATAGTCAGCTTCTTATAAAACTCCTTTTATTTTAAAGTCCTAGGGAACCTCTCCTTCCACATAATCACATTAGTTATCTGTCTTGGCCCAACCTGGAACCAGCTGGGAAACCCTTCACAATTTGGCTGCCTTTGTCACAAAATGCTTACGTGCAGTGAACACAAGAGCTGAAAATCAACTTACATCTACTCAGGTATTTAGAGTCGTACCTCCGTGCTCACACCGTCACAAAACAGTATGCACACTGCAGTGCAATTTTGCAATGTATAATGCCTGTCTGCCACTGAAAAAGGCAGCCTTCCTTCCACTCCCCCCTTACATGAGTTCAGCTATTGAAGAAAAGCTGATCAGCTTCACTGTTCAGTTGCACGCTCACTAGATACACTGCAAAAGAGGGAGTTCAAGTGGTAGGTTGTGGGATCATCTCACAACAACCTGTGTTCTACCTGCTTGAAGTGCACCCTGAATTTCTACCTTCATTCTCACTTCCAACCAAGACACAAACACTTACCCTAATACAATCAATTCACCATATTTTACTGGTGCTTTTGATGGATGATTTTCTTGATCAGGAGAAAACATGAGCTTAGCTAATGACTTCTTCTCAAATTTCAGGTCTCTGATCAAGAGTTGTGGCACACTTTGTTCATTATTTCCTGTAAAAACAAAGATAAAATTAAATGTAAGAGAAAAGACTCAAATCCATCAGTTACACAAACCTGCACACCTGATACACTACAGTATTTTGTGTTTTCCATATTTTGGTTATGCCTGAAATAATTTTAAAAACATACATATAAACCCACAATTAAGGTTGAATTGCTTAGAAGAACTACCAGATCACAAAAACCACAAGTGCACTTAGAAATATATAGTATGGTCTTGATAAAACATCCAAAGTTGTCTTCCTTCATGCTAATTTTTAGTATAAATGGTTCACAGCTTCATTTAGAATGTTTGGTTCAACCAGCTACCAAGAAGTAGAGCCACATAGGGATTAAATTTAAAGAAAAAACCAACAAAAGCAAGATTGGTCCATTGGCCATAGAAGTAGACATGTTCATGGAAACTATGTGATTCAGAGCTTTCTAAGAAACTTCTGGATTTGCAAATGGAAGGAAGTTGTATCACAATTTGATACAGTCTATCATACAAGTTTGAGGTGTGCAATGTGACCGTCTCATGTTCAGCTAGAAACAGAAGTGATGCAAACAGCTGTATGAAGGAGATTTCCTGAAGGAATTCCACATAATTCTTAATGAGAACAGTCTCTTGAAGTGCAATTTTTTGCCATGCTTCTGCTCTGAGAAACAGTTCACATGAGGATTTTTTACAGCTTCTCATTAGTAACATTTCCAGACACCTCTGACCTACCCAGACAGAGCACTTGCTGGATAAAGACCAGAGCTGATGCTCGCCTATTTGAGGCTTTCTTGAACAGAAATAAGAACATTCCCTCGTACTCCCAGGTAAGTTTCACACCAACAAAGAAGATAGTAAGCTTTTATAGTACTGATGGTTAATGTTCTGCCTTCTGCGCAAATACACATTTTGGACTACATTTCTTGAATCCTATCATCAACTTTGCATGACTACAATGCTTTATCTCCATTTTCTTCTTCCTCAACCAGACCACAGATATTAGCCAAAAAGATGCCAACATGCACATTTTACCTACCCCCATCTTACGTCCTAACAACAAAGAAGTGGATGTGGTAGTGCTTGACAACCTGCTCATATTTGTTCAGAAGCCAAAGCAAAGATCCCTTTAGTGATGTGATCTCTACCCTCACCTGATCCTCTCTGTTCCTTCAGAGAAGCTTGGCCTTCAACATCTCTTCTCAATCTACCTCTTTCTTATTTAGCATGGATATGTTGATCCCCACTTGCAATCAGCTCACAGTGGTCTCTGAAAATTCAGTGTGCTCCTTCATGTTTTCTTACATGCCATCTCACATACGTGGGAGGCCTTCGCACAAATACATGCAAAGACATCTTACTGTCCTACACACTTTTGCTGTGACGCCTGCAGAACACAATCAGGAGGCTAAATCCAAACCTTTCTTCTTCTTTTCAGTTCTCATGATCTTCCAAATCTCTTCTTTGTTCTGAAGTCCGGGTACTGTGGATTTCACAGTGCTTCAAACAAGCAGTTAACTGAAGACTCTTTGTGGTTCGCACACATATGACATTATTACAACAGTATCCTGACCCACTACTAGATGTGTGAGCGCGTTGTAATAAATCTGATCTGCACAACACTACTATGAAGTGCCTGTGTCCTGTTGACACAACAGTTACACCAGTATGTTTTTGCCCCATCGGAAGCAGTGTGCATTTTCACTGGGCAGCTATCCCAGTTCAAGCTTTAGGGTATCCATCATTTAGCTGGTGCAGAAACTGCCTTATACTGATCCAACAGTCCTCATCTGTCACACAGGAATAGCAACAGCAGGACAGGAGAGAGCAAAGCATTGTAGATTTGCTCCAAAGCATTTCTAGATTGCTGACCCAAGTGTAGCAGTAACTTAACTGGGATGGTGAGGGCTCTTACTGCTGTAGTTTGGGCCCAAGGTGTCTTCGTTCTAAAATGAAGAATTTAAAGCAAGCTTATCTATGAAAACGTGACCTCAAATTCCTATCATGCCAGTAAGTCATAACACATCAAAGTGGAGATTTTATCCCTGATAAATGCAGCCCCACTACACTGTTCACCATTTTCATGGTTGCTCTGACCACCTGTGGCCTTCCTTCCCTTCCAGCATCACAACTCCACCTTGTAGCACCACACCAGCAATTTCCTGAAACCATGTGCCTTTGAAGACACAGCAGGTGTGATTTACTGACATTAATACCAAACTCTACAGCTTTAAGTGTTTAAAAATGCTTGGTTCTCAGGCCACATCTCCATTTGGAAGTATTTCTACTTAAGAAGCAAGTATAAATCTTAGGTATTGACCTGGATAAAAACAATTCTATAAATTATTTTTGTAATCAACTTAAGAATTTCTTGTTTTGCTTTATTGTAAAATAATCGTCATCATAGCTGCTTGTATATTGTCTTCTAAAAACAGCTCCTCATGTTTTCATCTCCTCCCCAAATGATTAACCTATTTCCTACTTGAATATTGACCTCCTCAGCAGCCTTCCCTGCAATTCAGGCTTCTCCACATACAACTAATTTTGTCCTGGCCATTGCATTTTGCATTCAATGCTTCGCATTTCTTTGCTAGAATACATAATTGTCTTTTGAATTGACATTTAACAACTTGGAAGAAATACTGATATGAAATCTATAGCACCACCCATTAGGAAATGGCACAGGAGTAGTAAATACCATGACAGGGTAAAAAAAGATTTGAATAGTATCTACCTAACACTATGGTATTTGATAAAGAGATAATTCATTCATTTAGAGAAGGTGGGAAGGTAAGCATCAAAAACAACGTTTAACTTTTGCTTTCTAACTTTTAGTACAAGAAAAGCTTTGATGTAGCTTCTCCTCTCTTCACCCGAAATAAACTTCATGGATAGCTAAAAAACAAAATACAACTCCCAGTCAGAGTCAGCTTCTGACTCTCAGTAAAAGTAATTATATATGAACTGCTGAAGGAGACTCTGCTTTGAAGAGTTATCTGACCAGCTGGCCCCTAACCTCCTTGGAAGAGGTAACTGAGCAGAAACCATACACAGAAGGGGCAAATAATTCCAAGTGACAGACTTCAGCAATGCAAGAAGTTAACTAGAAGATCTTAGTATAAGGAAAAGTGTACAACATCTAATGCTAAACACCTTCTTCATACACTTTTTGTTTCACATTTAAAGAAAACCAGCCAAGTTTATTTTGGGACCAGCCCATACCATGGAAGCTCACTTCTTATTTGACTTAAGGAAGGTTCAAGAGTTAAGGAATCTAGAGCTATCCTTAGTAAAACATCTTGCTCGTACACTTTCAAGAGCATGGCTTGAATATTTGAACTTGATTTTTTTTAATCTATCTCAGAACATTTATGAACTGTACACACCACTTTGACAACTCCTAACACCCAGTTAACTTCAACCCAATCACATACCAAATTCAGCACTCCTAAATAAACCCTAATCAGTGCAACGTACACACTACTTCTCACCCACTATGACCTGTCTGATGCACTGTACCCCAAGGGAAGACTTATTTCAGTCCCAGAAATAACAAAGATTAATTATATTCTTCCAATATGCTTCACTGGAGTAGGCTCTGAACAACAGACTGTTTAAATTCCTCCAAAGAACCTTCAACTCTAATAAGGAATAAAGTGTTAATAACAAGATCCAGCCCCACTCAACATTCTTCCAAAATCACAGAACCAACAGTGGCAAATTTCTGGTCAAGATCTCTGCTTCTGCTACAGAGAAGAGACCTAAGCCTCAAAACCTCTACTTCTGCACAGTCCTGTATTCTAGAGTTGAAAAGATTGTGTGAGCAAAGCAACTTACAGGAAAGATTAAAGAGTTTCAGAAAGGCATTACATGGTTGGGAAAGAGGTTAGCACAAAGCCACAATGGGTACCAGCTAGTGTCTTTCAGTCTCAATAGGCAACTGCAACAAGAAGAACTCATCTATAAGTAATACCTTTTTATTCTTAAATGGTTCCTCTGGAAATGGGAGAAAGCTCAATGAAGGTAACCTGCACAATACTGTGTGTGTCACAGTTGTGTTACCATAGAATGGTTTGGGTTGGAAGGGACCTTAAAGATCATCTAGTTCCAACCCCCTGCCACGGGTAGGGGCACCTTCCACTAGACCAGGTAACTCAAAGCCCCGTCCAAGCTGGCCTTGAGCACTTCCTGGGGATGAGACTTGGATGCACAACCTCTCTGGGCAGAAGAGGTAACTTCGAAACTGGAAAAAGTATTTAATATTTGTTTAGGAATGGAAATCCAGTTTCTTACAAGCCTTCTTGTTCTTCAATATTCACTTGAGTCACAGAAGGCCAAAGATTGCTATGGCAGAAAGCAAGCCACAAATTTCTGATTGCATCTTGAATGCAATCATTCAAGATTAATAGAAGGAAAGAAGGAAAAGCCATATCATTGTACTCTCTCCTGTCACACTCACACACTAGAGTCTGAATCTAGAGGCAGACTACTCCCTGGGAAGACCTCACAAACCGTGCTTCAGAGTAGATGAAGAGTTTGAGAATCTGCCCACTTTCACGGAACGTGCCATTTTCAGTGAGGGACAGAGAATGAATTTTGGTTGGTTTTGAACTATCATCCTTAGCTTACCAGCCACCCTCAAATATTCAGCTGCCTTTTTGGATCTTGAGACTCATACACAACTCATACATACAACAGTCTTTGGTGGCTTCTACAGAAAATCTTCAGGTTTTGTTTGCACTAAGGCACAGCACCTTGTGAGTAAGCTCACTATTCAGTAGATCCAGCACAGCTTTTGGAATTGCAGCAAGAGCAGCAGTATCTTAATGGTTAAAATGGGCCAGGGGGAGGGGAGAACATGAATTCAATGAGCCCAAGCAGAGGTTCATTAAACACTCGGCTGTGAGCTAAAAATACTAGAATAAAAGTCTCTTTGTAATAAATTACCATCATTTTCTAAACACAGAGCCAGCATTATAGGCTGCTAGCAACTGCAGCTAGTGCCAGACTA